CGTCATTCTCCCTTAAAATATTCAATCCAACTCTCTTCTCTCGCCCTCGTGCGATTGAAACTTTCTCAAACATATTTCATAATTAGTCGAATGAAAAAGGTGTCGTTGGAATCTAACATTCCAATAATGCCCCGATTAATTGATTGTGAGGCCGACATCTTGTTTATCTACTAGTCGTCATTCTCCATCAAATTACCTAACCAAACTCCTCTTTCTCGCCCCCGTGCGATCGAAACCTTAAACCTATTCAAATATATCCTCTAACCAAAACATCCAACACGATAAACACAAATTCCTCGCCCTCGTGCGATCTCCAACCTAAATACTTTCTCAAAGAACATTGTTTAGCTCCTTCTTCCGCGCATAACAAACTCGTGCTTCAGCCTCCCCTAGCGAGCAGACAAGCCAACGTTTAGCAGTTAGAATGCGACCTAAACACTCGTTCACATACCAAACCTTTTACCGTAGTCAGCCGAACTATGGTTGCTCTGATTCTTCATTCCCTCTTGAATGTAAGATACGTAGGCACAAGATTGCGATAATCTTGGCGAGCACAATCCCCTCTTTTTCCCGTAGTCCCACGAACTACGAATGCTCTGATTTTCCACTTCTTACAAGTGAAGATACGTAGGTACAAGGGCCCTAATCCTTGGCGAGCACCCTATCTTAACAACCCTTTTTTTCCCATTAGCAAGCAATTCCTTAGAAGATAAACAAACATAGTTAACTTTCTCTCGCGAATCGAATCAAGAGGTTCCCGTTGAGTACAACGGACATGAGGGGTGCTAATACCTTCCCCTCATGTAATCGACTCCCGAACCTAGAATATTGGTTGCGATGACCATGTTCTTATCTTTTTAAAGGTTTTATCGATATTTTCCTATTCCTTCCTTGGAATGAATAAAATTCGGCGGCGACTCTGTTTCGAACGTATTTTCCGCGTCCATCGCGAGGATCGTATTTTTCGAGGTACGACAGCATCCTAACAATAAATGTCACTATTTACCTATATTAAATTATGTGGCATAACATACAATAGACAATGAACACAAGCGATAATTGAATAATGAAAATATGTTAAATCAATAATATTAACATCAACCACTCATATTTATCAATATAATAGAAATAGGTTCATCATACACAAAGACCTAACCTATGGAGAATATAGCTACTCATAGTATATAGTATACCATGAGTTTAGATTTATAGTACATGAAAAATTATTAAAGAAAATATACTCCAATGGTTCCAATGGCCTCTAAAAGTGGAAAAAAAATTGTTTTTAATTAAAAAAAAAGTGTCAGCTAAAAAAGTAGCATCTTGTCTGCAAGAGACAGCATTGTGCCGTGATGCAAGCCTCATCGCGGCGCGATGGGATATATAGTGCACGCGATAATTTCATAAGCGAAACACACATTTTTTCTCCTTTTTCTTCACAGTTTTCACTAAGTATTTATATATACCTTGTATTGGATTTTTGCTCAATTCTTCACACTTTAACATGGTTTTTTTAATCATTATTCTTCTGAATTTACTCGAATTTCTTCCTAAAAAACACATAATAATTACTGTCATCACATGCCACCTCCTGCACTATTAAGATACAAATCTAACCTAAATGATGACACTATGGTACAATAACAACAACAACTTAGTGACAGAGATACCTTACTGGCACAACTAAAATAGATCATGTTCCGCTTGGGAACCAGAAATGGATGCTCTAGTTCCGCTTAGGAACAAAAAATAGATATAGTTTGAAAATTGATGATCTTGAACGGTGAATTCGACCTCCTTTACGTTGGCACGGGGTGGACCTGCATGATTATCACTCCAACACACAATTCAGTTCAAGAGTCAAGATAAGTATAATGAAAATGGATATCAGAGATTGTACCGTACTCTTAGCATGTGAACTATTTTTATACTTTTGATCAAGTAGAGTGGATTTGTGATGGTTGGGCCTCGTCAATTGGGCCTTTGGCTTGCCATAACATATCCTTTCCAAGGTACAAAAAGTAGTGAAAATGTAGGATGACAAGCATAAGAGATACATAAACTTAGAGGTGGGTGATGCAGTTTTGGTTAAGTTGCAACCATACAGAAAAAACATTGTGGCATTAAGGAAACATCATATATTGTGCATGTAGTATTTTGGACGATTCAATATAATTCAGTAGGTTGTACATGTAGCTTACCAGATACAATTACTAGTTGAGGCCAGAATTCACCTTGTTTTTCCATATTTCCCAATTGAAGAAATTTAATGGGATAATTTTTGTACCATATACACCTCAAATTTGACTACACATGAGTTAAGTCCCATCTTGCATCCAAATATAGTACTACAAACCAAAGACATATTAAGGAATGAGAAAATAGTTTCTGGAGTATAAATACGTTAAGGATTATGAGTAGGAAAGATAAAAATAATGAAAGTAAAAACCACTACAACAAAATATATATATTTCCTAACAAGTTTTTTACTTCGGTTAAAGATCCTAAGTGAGACCTTAAAACTTGAGCACCTTCCTTTTTTTAAAAAATTTTGTAAATGAAACCCTAGACGAACTTATTTTCCTCTACTCCAAACTTCATCTTCCATTAACCAAACCCTATTTTTTTAGAAAAGAAAACTCAAAAATATAATTCCAGGCATAAATGAAACTCACAAACACTATTTCCTCCATTAACGAGTTTTAAATCTTCATAATCTCTTCTTTAACTCTAACGAGGCAATGAAAACATCGATTTAACTTAACAATGTAAATTGTTTTATTGTTGTTGTGTGAGGTAATCTTTAATGTAGTAGTTGATGTTTTTGTTTTTGTTGTTTAGATTTAAGGTGAAAAAATATATTGATTTTATCTTTGTTGTTGTTGCTGCTGCTGCTGCTGAGATGTCTCAACTTTTTTATATTTGATGCTGATATAAGACATCATCAATGGGAGAAGACTAAGTTCTTATAAGATAATGATATCAATGGATGACCTTGAATCACAAAGTACATGCGAGTTATTTCTAGGAAAATTGTTTCTGTTCTATTCCATTGGAATTATAAGGTAATATGTTAGATTTATGTATTCCTCATTTTAATTATGGCTTTTCAAATTTTGTATCTATCACGTTACTGTGTTCTTGACATTTTGTACTTAACAAAAATAAAATTTATTTTGAAATATAAGCATTTTTTATTAATTTATCTATTTCATAAATACATAATTATTTGTTTAACAAAGAAGAAATTACATCATATAATGAAATTGCAACCCAAGAAGAAATGTGTTGCTTCCTTTTCAAATTCTCACCCTTCACCACTTTTTTATTGGATTGTAATTGTTCTTTAAATATACTTATATTAATTTTTAAAAAATTATACTATAAAATAAATTTCGTTCAACCCAACATGTAAACTGCATACTAAATATGATAGAAGATACATTAAATTTTCTTTTGGTTAAAAATCTCAACAGAGAGGAAAAGATATCTCTAACACATATTCCCTCAATTAAAAAAATGAGGACGCTACATTCATCAATACTTGTAATTCCAACAATTCCTATTTTAATCCACACACAAGAAGAAACTTGTTCATCCATTAATCATAAATTCTTCTATCTCATTTCTCCATTATAAAACTCTTACATCAATTATTAATTGAAATCATTAGATAAGGAAATGATGAATCCTCCTTCTAGGAAACTACAAATATTCCGTTCACAAAGTTGAGACAAATTGCACATGGCTTCAACCACCAATGGGACACATAGTGCTCGACAGAACACTATACCTATCTAGCCAGCTTAGTTACACCCTTTTATTTTATTTTATTTTCTTATACACAAATCATCTATGATTTTTTAATTTATATGCAAGCATCAACAAAGTTGAAACATTACAAATCTTTGAATAATTAATGCATGGTTGATTATTCTCTTTGGTTCACTTCCAATAACATTCTTACATAAATTACTATTGATGACGAAACTTTGATATTGAACTCTCTTTTTCAATTAATATTTCAAAGTTATCTATATATATCATTTCACCCAAACAATTATCCACTAACTCTAACAATCAATGCGTCATTTTCTTGTAATTGTTTCTCATTTACTTGATCTTGTTTCATACTTATCCATCCGCACATAGATTATTTCATCCACAAAACAATTCATTAAATAATTATCATTTTAAATTATACTATTATTTTTAATCATTACAACAAGATTTAAACAGTCATTTATAAATGAATGTAATAATCTAAAATGTCGCAACTAACAAATTAGCAATTTATAGTCTAACTCTAGAAGATTAAAACATTACGCAAAGTAATATTCTTAATCAAAAATGGCTAATTTCCACAAGATTACGCAAAGTAATTATTAAACCAAGCCCACACGTGAAGGTAAATAAATAGAATTAGCAATCTTTTAAATCAAAAAATATATACATCCTGATTAAGTCTAAGATTCCAATCACAAACTCATGTTCACATTCACTTGTGCTTAGCATTTCCAAAGATGCTATTCCTTCTCATTTCACACACTAACCAAAAAGAGAAAAGAGACCAAATCAAGTACTTTTGTTCATCATGGTCCTACACGTCATATATCTATCAACCTAATTAATTAAATTCTTATTAATTAATTTGGTCAATGAAATTAAACCAATTATCATTATACACATATGCATGTGACCAGATCTAGCTGCCACGTGGATTACTATTTTATCTAATTTTTAATTCAAAATATTCTAAAGTCAATTTTCTTATATTTCATCACCCTTATAAATATCAAAACTCATCACCCTCATAAATCTCTCTTCTCATTCCTTTTACACAAATCTTCATCTTTCACACAAAAAGGTATCATAATTTTTTTTTGTCGTGTGTATCTGGTATCTGATGTCTGATTTTATACCTATAAATTTTTTATAAAATTTTTAGGTTTTTTTAGTTCGAAAATATTGTTAGACAACACGAAAAAATATATATATACATGGGAAATTGTTGTGCAACTTCGTCAATGGAATGGGCGGGAGACGATTGGGGTTCGTTGACATCAAAACATAATCCTAGGATGAATTCAAGCAAGGTGTTTGATGAAGTTCATGGAGTGAGTTCAGAGAACAAAGAGAAAGAGAAGCTTTTAGGTGCATTAAGAGCTTCTTCGGATGCTAATGGGAAAGTGAAGATTAAGATAACGAAGAAAGAGCTTGCGGTGTTGTTGGGAGAGAGAAAGAAGCAAGGTGTTGGAGGAACAGGACATGCTTCAGCTGAACAAGTTTTGGTTGGTTTGTTAAATGCAAGAGAACATGTTAACCATGATGTTCATCATAGGACATGGAAGCCTGTGTTGCAGAGTATTCCTGAGGTTAATTGATTAGGTTTAATGTTGGTGGTGTTGGTGGTGGTGGGGTGTGTATAGTAGAAGTTGGTTGAGGAAAAGTTTGGGAAGTTTTTACTTGTACAAAATCAGCTAAGCTATATGTACTCAGCAAATTTTTTTATTTCATTTTTTTTCTTCTGATTTCACCTTGTATTCTGTTGTAAGATATACATATAGAGGTTGAGAATGTGTATTTATTTTTATGAGGAAAAAAACAAAGAATGTTTATTTATTTATTTTTGGGGATTATATATGATAAAATTTAGGTTAATCACTAGAAAATTAAAATATTGAAAAAAATATATATGGACCCTTAAAATTTGATGGAGGGAATTAGTGACTATTTTAGTTAATTTTTAGTGAAGAATATAATTATATAATAAACTTAATCTAAATGTATTTTTTTTTTCTGTTTTAATGAAGTGTTTGATAAAAGCCATATAAGCTAAGTCGTAAAAGAAAAAAAAAACTTAATGTAATGAGCGAAAGAAAAATCATGAGACCTGTAAGTATGGGGTTGTGTGGTTGATGGAAAGGAATAATTACGGAAATTCAATAAGCGAAGGGAAATAATGGGAGTTTTAGAGAGTGGTGCAAGTGAGAAGAAGAAGTATTATGTTCTACCTAGCAAGATATTTTGCTAGTTGGCGAGAAACTGTTGGTAGGCATATGATGGGAGAATTGTGGGCATAATGCCTAGTATGCTATGGGTGAAAATCAAGGATCAAGATAAGGTGGCATAGAAGGAGAATCGAGTGTGGATACAAGAGAAAAATAAATGTGGTAAATATATATGCACCTTGTAATAGCAGAGAAAAACGAGTATTATGGATTGATATAAAGTCGAGAATAGGGATGAAAAACGGAGAAAGCATATGCATTTTAGGGAATTTCAATGCAGTTAGATCACTGGATGAGAGACGAGGCTCAAACGAATCAAGTAGAATGAGTGAGATTGCAGAATTCGATGAATTCATCACAGACTCCTATCTCATCGATTTGCCGCTACACGGTAGGAAATTTAATGGTCTAGGTTGGGAGGTTCAGTTATGAGTCATCTAGACAGAGTTTTAATTTCAGAAGAATGGTGCAGAAGATGGCCTTGCTGCTCGCAATGAGCTTTAAACAACGGGTTGTCCGATCACTGTCCCTTATTATTATGCGAGTCGAAGCAAGATTGGGGTCCGAGACCATTTCGAGTATTAGAGTGTTGGAGTCTATTGGACGGATACCATAGTTTCGTTAAAGATCATTGGAAAAGCACAGAGGTGGAGGGTTGGGGAATGTACGTCTTAAAGGAAAAGTTCAAGAGGCTGAAATTGAGTCTTAAAGAGTGGCACAAGATGCATACGCATAATCTAGAAGGGGAAATTAAAGAAGCAAAAGAAGAGTTTAAGAAGCTGGAATTAAAAGGTGAAAAAGAAAATTTGTCAACATTAGAGGAGATTCGTAAACGAGAATTATTGGCAAATATACACAAGCTATCAAGTCTTAATCGTAATATCCAATGTCAAAAAGCTCGAAATCGGTGGTTGAAAGAGGGAGATGCCAATACAAAATTCTTTCATCATTGTATTAATAGGAGGAGAAAAGAAAATGAAATTCAGTAATTAGAAGTGAACGGGAGAACAGTGAAAGATGTGACAGAAATTAAAAGTGCAATATTCGATCACTTCAAGAAGACTTTCGCAAGCAGAGGGGAAGGAATTCAACCAGATAATATGGAGTTCACAAAACTAGAGGAGGCTGATAAGGTTGGATTAATTCGGGAGTTTTCGGGAAAAGAATTGAGGGACGCAATTTGGGATTGTGAAAGCTTCAAAAGCCCTAGTCTGGACGGTGTGAATTTCGAATTCATAAAAGAGTTCTAGGATCTAATCAAAGGTGATTTCATGAAAATGTTAACAGAGTTTCATTCATATGGCAGAATTGTTAAAGGAGCAAACAGTGTATTCATGGTCCTTATTCCTAAAAGGAAAAATTCTTCAAAGATTTCTAAATTTAGGCCAATATCTCTCACCGGATGTCTTTATAAGGTTATATCCAAGGTGCTAGCTAACAGATTGAAAATAGTCATGGACAAAATTATATCAGAAATGCAACTGGCTGTTATCGCGGGCAGGCAGATCTTGGATGTAATATTAGTGGCTAATGAAATAGTAGACGAGGCTAGAAAAAGAAGGAAAGAAGTGTTACTATTTAAAGTGGATTTCGAAAAAGCATATGACTACGTAGATTCGAAGTGCCTGATATATCTAATGGAAAAGATAAGATTCCTGCCAAAATGGTGTAACTGGATTTCCGAATGTTTGAGTATATCGTCATTATCAATTCTGGTTAACGACAGTCCAACAAGGGAATTTAAGATGGGTCGTGGTCTTAGGCAAGGTGACCCGTTGTCACCATTCTTATTCCTAATAGTTGCAGAAGCTTTCAACACAATGATGAAAAAGGTGGTAGCGCTGGGGAAGTTTCAAGGCTTCAAATTTGACGAAGGCAGTGAGCAATTTTCACACCTGTAATACGCTGATGACACTTCGATTGTTTGTGAGAAATCATGGTCAAATATTAGAACAGTGAATAGTGTTCTAAAATCATTTGAGTTGTTGTCCGGACTTAAAATGAACTTGAAAAAGAGTAAATTGGTGGGAACCAATATCTCTCAAGAGTGGTTGAGGGAGGCGGGGAGGGTTTTATAATGCGGTATAAGCTTTATTCCTTTCTTATACCTTGGGTTACCAATTGGAGCAAACGCGAAATGAATGAACACGTGGGATGAAGTGCTAAACACGGTAAAAATCAAGGCTTGCTTCATGGAAGAACGAATACCTCTCCATTGGTGGTAGAATCATCATTCTGAAATCGGTCTTATATGCGATTCTGATATATTTTCTCTCCTTCAAAGCACCGATGGGTATTATTTGCAAACTAGAATCTATTTTCAAGCAATTCCTTTGGGGAGGGTATGAGGCAGGAAGAAAAGTCAATTGGGTCAAGTGGGAAATGGTGTGCAGGCCAATCCAGGAAGAGGGTCTAGGAATTAGGAGGCTAGGCATTTTCAACACCGCATAAATGGGCAAATGGAAATGGAGGATTAGTTCTGGAAAAAAAGAATTTGGTTCTCCTCTCTAATCAATGGATACAGGCTGAATGTGGAAAGACTAAATCCAGGGGTCAGAAGCAGATCGAGTTGGTGGAAAGAATTGTGCGCTTTGGACATAGGAAACCTCAAAAATTTGAGAGAATATTCAGTGAAGAACGTTTACAACAATATCTTTCCCAAAGCCCATTGGAGAATAGGAAACCATGGTCAAAAATCTGGAACAATTTAATCCCTACAAAAGGTTCTAGTTTGATTTGGGTATTGCTTCATAATAAGATCGTAACTTTAGATAATATAGAAAAGAGGGGTATTCAGCCGCAGGGCCGCAATAAGTGTATGGGTGATTGTAATTACGAGGAATCGGTATCCCATCTCATTTTTTAGTGCCAATATTTCGCATGTGTTTGGAAATACATATGCAACTGGTTGGGAGTTTCAACAACATTACATAAAGAAGGATGGAAACATTTGTTACAGTTTGAAAATCTGATTGGAGGCGGAAAAGATTCACCTTTAAAGCTCCGAGCATTATGGTGTGCTTGTATTTGGAGCATATTGAAGGCAAGAAACCATAAAGTTTTTCGGAAGGAAGAAATTCAGCTGGTAAAGGTGATAGAGGAATCCATAATACTTACTTGGAGATGGTTAAAATTAAAATCTAAAAAGATTTTGGAAGAGTTATCGATATGGTGGATCAATCCCGAGATTTGTTTGAAATAGTTTTGGTGCACTGCAGCAACAGTAATCATTTAGTTCATGGGTTTCATCGGGTTTTCGTCTTCGTTGCTAATTAGGGGTGTGCAAAAAAACCGGTTATTGTTAACTAAATTTGTATCCAAATTGTTCTACTTTTAAAAATCCAAACCAAATGCTAAAATATAAATCTGGTTATCCATTTTGTTATCCAAATATAAAGCGATTTCCATTGGTTTAGTTATTGGGTATCCAAATTTCATTATTTGTTAAATTTATATATTTTTGTCTCTTTTTATGTTTTATCATATACACGTTATAAACTAATTTTATATTTTGAACTATTTTAATGTTAACTTTCTTGAATTTCATAAAAAAAAAATATTTTATAAAAAATTCAGAATTTTGTATTTCAAAATGAAAAAATAAATTGTTTACGAATTCTCTAATTACCTAAAATGGTGTACTAATACTTCACAAATTATATGGACTTTTAACATTTAATTATATGAACTTTCAATAATTAATTATTTAGATCTTAGTGATCGAGATTGATTTGACATGTGCAAAAAAATATACCAAAACTTGATTTGTTGGATTTGACTCTAATTTTCATTTATAAATCTCGAACATCATTAAAGCTTTATGAAAAAATGATCATAAATATTATAGATTTCTCCGCCAATAGATAGAGGTTTTTAAATATACAAATATATGTATTATAACGGGTTAATATCCACTCCATTTTTTCCCCTCCATTTTTTCTATTATTATAGTTTTGTGTGTAAATAACACACATTTCTATGACATGTGACATATAATTAACATTTAGTTGATTTTATATACATAAAACTATAGTAATGGAGAAAATGGAGGGACAAAGAAATGGAGTGGATATTAACCCGTATTATAACATATTAGTCACCATTTTAAGTCCATATAATTTGCTGAAATTTTTTATTTTTAGTTTTATTTTTAATTTTTTAAATATTGTTTATTTTTAGGGTTTTTTTTAAAAATTGTTTTTTAAAATGTTTTTTTTTTATTTTCAAATAAAAATATATTAAAACTTAAATATTTAAATTTAAAAATTGATATAATTTAAAGAAAATTAAATTTAAATTTAACTAAATAATTTGAATTAAAATTAAAATCTATTTAGAACCGATTCTAAACCGGTTCGGAACAAGTGATTTGGTTTTTAAACCATAACCATAAAAATGGATTGGTTTATAAATCATAACCATAAAAATGAATTGGTTCATATTAAATGGTTATCCATGCACACCCCTATTGCTAATCAGTCTTCGGAGCAGTATTGTGTTTATCGGCTTTTCCTGGGTTCGTGGCTAGTACGTTTCTGCTGTAGCTATTATTAGTCAGCAGGATGGACCGTGTCGCCGCTTTGGCGTGTATGGCTTTCAGTTTTATTGTTTTGGCTATCTATATCTCTGACTGTTTTCGATTCCTGGCAAGTATGCTCTCTCCATTTTCTGATTGCGTGTTTTTGGGTATTTTTATAACTTCGACCTAGTGTTTCTTTTGATAGCTTGAATCTTTGTTTCCTAAAGACTTGTCAGTCTATATCTCATGCATCTAGAATGGTTCATTATGCAGTTCAAGGAGATCTGTTATGTATTTTTAGCATTCTGGATTTTTATTGTTGGTCTGTTTAAGTCGACAATGTTATCAGTAGTGCAGAGCGGATATGGCAGTTTATTGGAATTTTGGCATTTTGGTTTTTCTATTATCTAACAGTTTTCGTGCAAAAGAAGTTCTTTCCAATAGTTTGTCCGGTCATCAAGTTCAGGGGTGGAATGTCTAGTTTAGGTTGTTAATTTGTTGCTTAGTTGATCCAAGGAGTAGCAGTCTGGTTATTTGTATTTTAGTGAGATTGGGGGCAAGTTGGAAGAGGGGATATAAATAGAAGGCACTTTTATTATTAAGCTTTATGTAATTTCTTTTAAGGAGTAGCAGTCTGGTTATTTGTCGTTAGGTTGTTATATTTGTTTTAGTAAGTTCCAAACTGATTTGCAGCTCTATTGTTGTTTGGGGCTGTGGAGCGTTGTATTATTGTAGCATATGTTATGCCTTTCTTTTTAATATAATTCATTTCTTTGTTGTTCCAAAAAAAAGATAAGGTGGCATGTTGTAACCATTAGGAGTGGAAGACTGAGAGTGGGAATATGTTTTTGTTTTTTTTAAGGATAAAAAAATCAATTACTGAAATGGCATAAGCAATGCCACAAAAGTTACAACCTGTCCAACAGCAGCAAATCAAACATAGTAACCCTTTAACCAACACCAAAATAAAAACTATTACTAAGAGAAAAAAGAACCACCCCAAGTCAAACATGAAGGCCAATAACAACTGCCTAATTAGCTCAACAAAGATGTGAGCCAACAACATAAAGAGAATATGCCCTCAATTTTCTCCAGAACCCATACTAGATACATCCACACATGATACACATTTGCAACAGCCCAACATAAATTGTGCAGTCCCTTCCAACCACCCTGCTAGACTACAACAACACCCTGCTAGACGTGGAAAAAATGTTCGAACAGAGTCGTCACCGAACTTTATTCATTCTAAGAAAGGAATAGGAAATATCGATAAAACCTTTGAAAGATACGAAAATAGTCATCACAACCAAATTCTAGGTTCGAGAGTTGATTACGCAAGAGAGAAGGTATTAACACCCTCTACGTTCGTTGTACTCAACGGGAACCTCTTGATTCGATTTGTGATAAAAGTTAGCTAGATTTGTTTGTTATCTTCTAAAGGATTCGCTTCTAAGGGGAGAATGAATGGTTTTTTATTAGAGTGCTCGCCAAGGATTGGGGCCCTTGTGCCTATGTACTCCCTCGTACAATGGGAAAGTCAGAGCATTGTAGTTCATGGGACTACGGGAAAAGGTTTGAGGTAAAAAGGAAAAAAGTAGCTCGCTAGGATCTCGCAATCCTATGCGTACGTACCCTCACTGTGCAATGAGGAAGTTAGAGAAATTGTAGTTTGGAAGACTACGGTTGGTTGGTGTATTTTAAGCGAACGAATTTTTAGGTCACATTCTAACTGATAAACATTCGCTTGTCTGCTCGCTAGGGGAGGCTGGAGAACTAGTTCATATGCGCGGAAGAAGGGACTAAATATTATTTTGAAAAAGTTGTTTGAGTTGTAGATCACACGAGGGCGAGGAATTAGTGTATTGAGAAGTTTCGATCACATGGAGGCGAGAAAAGAGAGTTTGATGTGTTGGATATTTTGTTTGGATGATAATTACTTGAAGCTTAAGAAAGGATCCTCGGACCCAAGTAATCGAGAAAGTGAAGCGAAGATCCGATTCTCTCTTTTTTTCAACCTTAATTGTGAAAAGAGTTTTGATATAGTTAAGGTAAGTTGAACAGATGACAATTACTCGAAACTTAAGAAAGGCTCCTCGGGCCCAAGTAATCGGGAGAATGATTCAAAGACTTGACTCTCTCTCTTTTTCATATAAGTATTGAAAAAAATAATTTGATGTAGGATTAGATTGTAAATCTTTTAGAGAAGACAATTGTTCGAACTTAAGAAAGGCTCCTCAGACCCCAAACAATTAAGGAGAGAAATCGAAACCACCATTACAACTCCCTTTTCATCTTTTATTGAAATTGTGTTTAAGTATGATTAAGTATATTGATTTAGTTTAAATAAAATACTCGATGTGAATCAAGGTTTGATTTTAC